AGCTGATTGTGCAGCTATCAGTGTGTGTTTTATGACTCTGGAGGCTTTTAAATCGTAATTTTCCTGCATCTGATTCCATTTACAGGACTAATAAGACTTTATTGAGCCGTCGCACTGACTGTGGTTTGGTAGGGAAGGTTAAAGAGGTCTCATAAAATGATGGATGATTGTATGAATACTGATACGTTTCATTAATGCTGGGCTTCACTGGCTCCAGGACCACGGGACCATTTTTTAAGCTGTTATCGGGAACGACAGAGAAGGCGATCGGTGGACATCGTGGATTTATTATCAGCGCAGAATAAAACAGAAGGATGGCGTCTTTTCAAAACTCGGTGGAAACGAAGGAAATTACAAGTAAAGATTATTATTAATAAATGAAATAAATAAATAATACAAAGGAAATTAAATAGTGAGTTATTATAAATGAATTCTTATTAATGTTGTGAGCACTGGACATAAAAAAATGATGGGTATAATCTGTAAATAAATGAAATACTCGACTACGACTGCTTTTATTGTGGTTTGTCATGTATTTACCTCCTTTTTTTGTCATTTAACACGTCGGCAGTTTTGGTCCTCGACATAAAATAAGCTGGAGGCTCAACTGAGAGCCTAAATTTAGTTTGTAGACATGGAAATGTACAAAGTCTCGGTTACACAGACAGAAAGAAAAACACAGTACAGATAATGTTAATATTATTTTTCTAATTTATTTAAGAAAAATATATATTTGTTGATTCTGATGGAGACATTGGGCACATTAACGTAGACATATGTACAATTCTCTTTCATAAATACAAAATTATTTACAAAAATTAAATAGGAAAACGTTCTTCTGGGAGGTATGTACACATTGCATTGTTCTCTTAAATTAATGAAGATAATACAAAGACACATCTACACAAGAACAACACGTATTTTTGGTATCAAATGGATTATTAAAAAAAACAAAGGAATAAAAACTCTTTGGAGTCCTTCACTGATATAAAACGTTTTCTTTTTTTTCTTATATAAAAAGCAAAAAAACCCGTCAGCGGCGTTTTTATTGTCAGACCGACTGAACTGGGTCTGCAGCGGTTTCATGAAGGCAGCTTTGAAGGTTAGCTTTTTGATTAATAGAAATATAAAATTCAGCTGGGAACAAATGGACCCGTACGATGAATCCAGCCCAACGGTTCGACTTTGATTATCTTTCAATTCACAAGGCGGAAAGGCAGGAAACAGCTGATTGTTATTAGGGGAACAAAGCCCCCCCCAGTTCACCTGAAACATCATTTACACAGCGATTAATATCCAGGGCTGAAGGCTGGAGATACAACTGGGGCTCAGAGACGGGTGGACTGACAGGCTCAGCGCAGGATTTGAACTTACCATTAAAAACCATAATAAAACTCGTCCAGTCTTCTGGGAGAACATCAGACAGTGACGTTCTCACTCTGATTGCTGGCTTCAAGTCTTTTTGATGTTTTTAGGGACAGAGGCACTTTGGATTCTGCAGGTTTGGTGATTGTAAGGCGGATATTGTTCTTACTGAACAGGCCACAATGTGACGAGGAAAAATTGAACGGCGATTGAAGGTGGACGACAGAAGCGTTGTCACAAACTATCCAGCCCAGGTCACAAATACATGATCTGTGGAAAGGTACGGCTGTTTGACCTAAAAGAAAGAGGTTTGCCTCCCATTTCTGCGAGCAGGTCCTCTGATGATTGCGAAATTAGGGAGCATAGCTAAGGCACCCGTCTGTGTGAGAGGCGGACAATTCTCGCTTCGATCGTTTCGATCGTGGATCCAAAGAAGATTAAGAAAGAGTGCAGAGACAGAAGGTCAGGGCAAGATTTAAAGAATGAATAGTGCAAATGATGCCGGACGTTCAGTCTTTCCTCCCTCGTCTTCTCATTGCCATCCGAACATTGACAGTATCCAAGCAGACTAAAACAACAGAAGTCTCTCCATTGAGCAGCAGTAATAAATATTAAATTAAAAAACTGTGTGTAGAATAGATCCTCTGGGTATACTGTTCTGGACAAAACACTTTCAGGCCCTCAGCAGAAAAGATCCTTTGCTGGTGGTCTGAAAAATCTCAGGTTATACCTGAGAACGAGACAGAGAAGCAGCGGTTAGTCATCAGCGTACGGCATCACTGCACTGCGCCATGAACATCATTCATGAAGCACAACGTTAGAAGAAATATTAATAAGTGTTTTTAACCTCTTCCACCTGGAGGCACTGGGACCAGTCCGGACCTGTTAGAAAAAAGTTTGCACTTTCAGCGAGCAGCCCGCCTGAAACACCGCTGTGCTTCATTTCTCTGCAATTTATGGAGCTGCAGTGAAATCAGTGTTGCTGACTCTCACATTCACAGTTGTGATTAGGTCAGCACGATATTTAAACAATAACACTGATGACGGGATATTAGCATTCTTTACATTTTGTGATAGGCGCAGTATTGCAATAACATAGCACAATTTGCCAGCAGTTTCATTGAATTTATAAGACATTAATATTTTGTGTCCTTGCATCGTCACACAGGATACTGCAGTACTAGGATGTATTCATTTTCTCACCCCTACGGGGGGCATTTTTCCAGTTTTTTGCAAAAAATCTCTCACTCAGAGGTCACAGCTTTGTTCTTTCTTATGGACTTACAGATAAGCTGTAACATTGTAGCCAGAAGACATGCAAACATCAGTGCTGAGCATTAGAGTGAAAGAAAGGGGCATCTGGTGCATATCATATTACTGCAACCGACCAATCACAATGTTGTGATGCTACAATAGCAGAGCCTGCATCAGGGGTCCAACTCCAGTCCTCGAGGGCCGCTGTCCTGAAACCTTTCCATGTGTCCCGCTGCAACACACCTGAATAACATTAGTAGGTCATTAGCAAGACTCAGAACCTGAACACATGCTGCACAGCGGCCCTCGAGGGCTGGAGGTGGACCCCTGGCCTACATAAAGATGAAGTCCTGACGTGAGACTTTGAGTCTGGCTACATTTAGAATTAATTATTTCAAAAAGTTTGCATAAAACAGACGATTAACAGTAATAATGTTTCTCTGTGGCACAAAAGCCCTGAGAGTGAACCTCTCCCATGCACCGAGCAAGCAAGTCAATAAAGCGGTAAATACTATTAATAATATGAAAAATACAATCCTGGTGGCTTTTTTCTGCAGATGTCAGCTGCTCTAAATTTGCCTTCTCATTTCCACTTTTAGAGGAAATGTTTATTTTTCATCAATCAGTGCAGTTACTAACTTTTTTTATCTAGATTATTGTGCACACACTGAACCCACACAAACAGCTGTCCATCATCCTCATCGAGTTCAAGTCATTTGTATAACAGTATGAATTTAATGCTCTGGACATGCTGAGCAAAGACACGTTGAACCAAGTTTCATTTTGCTTCGTCGAGCTTGCAGAGAAAAACCAACGTGTAAATTCAGTGTCAGATGGTTAAAGACGACTTTGAACTTTGAACCTTCCTCACTCTCCCATTCTGCGTTTCGCTGCCACTCTTCCATTAACAAAATGAATCCTTGTAATAGTAATGTGATCGACCCAAGTCAACAACGGAGAGATAAACGCTCGCGTGGTTGTGTTCCTCACCTCAGTAGCAAACACACACTGCTCCAGCTGGTCTGGGATGATGAACACTGAGTGATACAGACTGTCCTTTGCAAAACTGAGAGGAGGGACGATGACGGACGGCTCGCATTTCTTACTGTTAGAGGAAACAAGAGCGAGACAGACAGACAGACAGACAGACAGACGGAGAGAGGGAAGGTTGGTCCAACAGCAAACAAAGATTTTGACAGCAAGACTCAGTGAAGATCCCCCCCCACCATGGACTGATCAGTTAAGACACAACGAGCTGCGACTTGTCTGAATTAAACTCACAGGAACGAAGCACAAACAGAAACAGAGATAACTATCAAACCATCAGGTCCTTACAGGTCAAACTTGTTCTTGTCCAGGTGCTGCTCCTCCTTTGCCAGGTTGTAATCTGCCATTTTGTTTTTAAACATGGCCACGTTGTCGCTGCCCTTGTCCACCAGCGCTACATCCTTATTGGACATTTTAAGATGAGCTCCCGGGAGGAGGAAGGCCTCTTTCTCCTTCAGGCTGCCCAGAGTCGCTCCAGGTAAGCTCCCGTTCTTGGGCGCCCCTCCGCCAATCACCGCGTTGCGGTTGTTCACCGTCTCCAGGTCGTTTTTTACTGACGTGGAAAGGGCTCTCAGCTCCCTGCCCCGGTACAGGTGGCGCAGAACGAAGATGGCGGCGCACACCAGCAGGGAAAATGTCACTATTCCCAGAGCAATAGCGGCAATCATGGCCGCTGGAGGGTCTCCATTCGCGGCCGGTTTCACAGTTGGCTTGAGAGAGTGTTCGCAGCGCGTGCCCATGAAGTTTCGCGGGCACTGGCACACGGGGCCGGTGAAGTGGGTGAAACACGTGCCGCCGTTTTCGCACGGGAACTGGTCGCAGAGGCTGGCGCGCACCGTGCAGTCTTTGCCGGAGAAGCCGAGGGTGCACGTGCAGCTGTAGTTGTTGATTCTGTCGAAGCAGGTGCCGCCGTTCCTGCAGGGATTGCTGGCACAGTCGTCGATGTTGGTCTCGCAGCGAGAGCCGGTGAAGCCTGGCTGACAGCGACACATGACGATGCTGCCAACGTCAAAACACTGAGCACCTGCAGACAGGAAAAAAACAGGTGTGTGTTAATAACAACTGGAGGAAACACCTGGCAAGGTAAAGCAGAAGAGGGCAGATGTTCATCTGCTACTGACTGATGTTGAGACTTCAAAGAGGTGAAACGGGCCCCAGTTTTAGGGTCATTTATTCTGCTGAGCAGTAAGTGTTACCAGATATGTAGTTAGCATGTTGGCCATGAAGCATCATTTGGAAAGGAAATAAAGTGTGTAGACGTTTAATAGATTCTGATGCCTTCAGCCCTGCTTACGAGCTAAAGCCATACAGCAGACACGGGAAACAAGGTTTTTGTGAAATACTCATCATTGAATCGCTCTAAGCGTCTCATACGTTCACTGGTATTTCTGAGTATTAGTATGTGGACTAGAAAAAACAGGGGAACCACAGCAGAGCCTTGGGGGAGGCCGGAGGAGGCTAAATACTCCGAATCACAGTTTCATTCTAAAAAAACAACAAAAGAAACAAAGAAAAGAAACCAGGTTTCTGAAAATTTGACAAACTGTGGTAATAATTAAGCCGACAGTGTGCAGAAGACATTTTGAACCCTGCAGACTCGCCACAACGAAGCAAACTCCATCTGGACAGAGGAAGGACGAGCCGGGGCTGAGAGCGGGAGGGGAAAAATGTTCTTTACAACATTTCCTCTCAACAGATGCCCCTCAGAAAAACATGTGTGATTAGAAACATCCTGAGAAGTTGTTTTCCAGCACCAGGAAGTCATGTGATCTGCCAGAACAGTGGACTATAAAACTTAAACCATATCCGTCATTTCAGTTTAACTTCTCTGAAACAGGAGAAGATGCGCATCACAAATTAGCTAACAAATGATTCATTTTTGCTTTTGCTGGGATTTCGTGCTCTAAAAGCATTTTTAGGAGGGGAGAGGCACTGATCCTGCAGCCATGTATGGGTTCATGTTGGGCTGTTATTCCAAACTGCAGGCTGTGTGCTGTAAAAACAGACCCATATTTGGTTGTTCTGTGTTGCAACACTGCAAACAGAGCACAGCGTCATCTATCAGGCAGCAGTATTTTTTTACCCTCTGTCAGGCTCACTGAAAGACAGGAATGACTGCAGATTGAAGATAAGCAGGCGGCGGTTTCCACATGTTAATGAGAACCTCAGGGAGAACCGAGGGGTCGACAGGCACCCCGAGAAGCGGGGGCGGATGATAGGCCGATGATGACTGTTGTTTAATTATAAACTCTGAGATATGCTTCCTTTATTAATGCCAGGTCTGCCGGTGGAGCCGTCTGACCCTGATAATGCGTCTCCTCTCGTAAACGACGTGAAACTTTAAACTGACTGTTGGCCCAGCTCGCACGAGAACAGGTTACCCAACCACAGACCACAGATTATAGAAATCAAACAGCAAAACATCCTGCACGGTGCAAAATATCAAGCTTTAGAGCCAGATCAACGTTAAAATCGGAGCTCCAGCGGCTTTGTTGTGTTTTCCTCACATGCACACACGC